AGACATTTTTCCAAAAAAGACATCCAGATAGCCAACAGACACATGAAAAGGTGCTCAACAACACTCATCATCAGGGAAATACAAATCGAAACCACAATGAAATACCATTTCATACTGTCAGGATGGCTCAAATTGACAACACAGGAAACGAGATGTTGGCAAGGACTGGGAGAAAGGGGAAACCCTATTATACTGTAAACTGGTGCAGCCACTCTGGAAAACAGTATGGAGGTTCCTCAAGAAGTTAAAAATAGAGCTACTCTCTGACCCAGCAATTGCCCTACTAGGTATTTACCCAAAGGATACAAATGTAGTGATTCAAAAGGGCACGTACGCCCCCAATGTTTATAGTAGCACTATCCACAATAGCCAAAATATGGGAAAAGTTCAAATGTCCATCAACTGACAAATGGATAAAGAAGACAGACACACACAAAATGGAATATTACTCAGCCATCAGAAAGAATGAAATCTTGCCATTTGCTGTGACACAGGAACCAGGCTGTGTGATGGTAAGTGAAACAAGTCAGAGAAAGACAAATACCTTATGATTTCACTCATGTGGAATTTTTTTTTTTTTTTTTAAAGATTTTATTTATTTATTTGACAGAGAGAGATCAGAAGTAGACAGAGAGGCAGGCAGAGAGAGAGAGAGAGAGAGGGAAGCAGGCTCCCTGCCGAGCAGAGAGCCCGATGCGGGACTCGATCCCAGGACCCTGAGATCATGACCTGAGCCGAAGGCAGCGGCTTAACCCACTGAGCCACCCAGGCGCCCCGCTCATGTGGAATTTAAGAAACAAAACAGATGAGCATAGGGGAAGGAGAAAAAAGGTGGGGGGGGACAAACCATAAGAGACTCTTAACTATAGAGAACAAACTGAGTGTTGATGGAAGGATGGGGGATGCTAAGTGGTGTTGGGTAGTAAGAAAGCACTTGTTATTAACAAGAACTGGGTATTATATGTAAGTGATGAGTCACCTAAATTCTACTCCTGAAACCAATATTACACTATATGTTAACTGGAATTGAAATAAAAATTTGAAAAACTGTATTTAAAAGACATTTAATCCTCTGTGTCACATCATTAAAATTAATATGTATATTATTGATGCATTTTATAAGTTGTTTCTCTCTTACTTCCTGAAAATCAAAATCAAAATTTTTGATTTCGATCAAAATCAAAAATTTTGATTTGGCTTTACAAGTTGCAAATGCAACTTGGAATTAATAAAAAAAAATCCTCATTGCTTAAAAAAATAAAATCTGCAATTCAAAATTTTATTAGGTCACCTGTTCTTTCCTGTCTTCATTATAGATTGTTAGATTTCGCTTTTCCATCCTTGGTTCTTTCTACTATTGGAAAACTGTCAGTTGACATCTGTGAAATTATCTGGGAAACGAGAAGTTATGTTCTAGAGGCCAATGTTTTTATTGTAAATGGGACTAAAATTGGAATCCTTGAAGAATAGAAACATTGTATTTAGTAATACAGGAAGTAAATGAAGTTGAAACTGTCCTCAGTCTTTATATCATTGTAACAGCAAGCCTTCCAAATTTTATTTGATCAGGCTCACATTTCAAATAACAGATTGAAATACTGATCTATACCCTTAACTCTGCTTGCTTACCTTTCATTTTCCTCTCAACTGTAATGCAAAGCATGTGCTATCTGCCACATGCCCACAATGAATATTTAGTTCTTTTACTCCCCTTTCTGTCTGTCTCCTCTTAAACCACTAACAGTGCCCTCTGGCCAAACCCAATGAACTGATGTTGCCATGACATTACTGCACTTACGCAAGCTTTACGCACTGACTGTTTTCTCACATGGGATCCAAAACCTCACCCTGTCTTGGGGTGCCAGGGTAGCTCAGTCAGTTAATTGTCCAAGTGTTGGTTTCAGTTCAGGTCATGATCTCGGGGGCCTGGGATTGAGCCCCGTGTCAGGCTCCATGCTCAAGGCAGAGTGTGCTTGGGATTCTCTCCCTTTCTCCCTCTACATGCACCCTCTCTCACACACAAATAAATGAATCTTATTTAAAAAAACAAAAACACCTTAGCCTGTCTTGACCCTTCTTTTTCTCAAAGTCTTTAGTGCTTCTACAGCTTCCTCCTTTCAGAGACCAGTGCTAGGCTTCTATCCTCAGTCTCTTTCTCATCCACAGCCTCTCTGGGAAATGTCATCCATTCTCATAGCTTCATTTTTTCACTTCTAACTTCTTGGTCCTTACAAAACCTGATACACCATGGCTCCTCCCCTGCCCAATGAGAGAAGTCCAAACTCTTGAATGTAGCATCAATTCTTCTAACTGTACTGTAAGAGCATGTTATGAGCACATTTCTATATTCCCATTGCCCAGCCAGGTGAAACTGGGTGTGCCCTCAATTAAAGTTTTGTGGGAGGGAGGGATTCTTTGAATTAGCCAAAGTACTTTGAGTTTCCTTTCTCAACACCTCTTTCCCCTCCATTTCCTAGAACTCCTGCCCTGTCCCACTCATCATCCTCCACAGAATTCTGATCTGCATCTGCTTACATTTTGTCCTCATTCTAGAGCAAGAGTATACAAACTCCTTTCCTGCTTATCCCATCTCTCTGTCCCAACCCAATCCCAGCATCTCTACGTTGGCAGAAAGCTCCCACGGTGTGGAAATCATTATCATCATCATCCTAATACAAAATCTTGGCTAGGTGTTAAATCTATGAAATTTGCTGATGACTTATAGCAGAACTATCCCGTTCTGTTCTAGCTTTATACCACTTTACACTTGACATATAATGGGAAGGCATTAATCATGGAGGTCTGTCTTCCCACACCACTCCTCAAGAGACTCAATTTCTGTTTTGTCTCATACTCAATTCACTTCCTTGAATGTAAGCAGGCATTCAGGAAAGTGCAGTCAGTAAGAATGCCTTCAAGCTTACAATTTAGTAGGGGAGATAAGATGTACATAATTCTAAAGTGTATGGTAAATGATAATAAATTCAGACAGCGTCTTATGCCTCTTATGGCCTGTAAGGACAACAAATACTGTACTGAAAGGCAACGATCTGAGTCAGAGATTTTCAAGGTGACAAATATGCACACAAATTCTTAACCTTTTTTCTTTCACTAAACTCAGTATTCCTGTTCCAGTTATTATGCCCCTCTGTAATGACTCCCACAGGAAACAAAAATCCACACACACCCCCACATTTTATCTCCACTGAGTTCTTTCCTCCATAGTTACAGGAAAAAAAGTTATCTGATCCAGACCTCTTTCATATGACAGTTTGTCAAATTTTGCGTACAGTCATGAACACGTTTCTCCTTTGCAGGTTAAATATACCCAGACCCTTCAATTATGTAATTTATCACTATCCTAGTCACTCCTCCAGAAATGGGCAACTGTATCACATGTCATCAGTGCTGAAAAATGAGTCCGGAAATGTCCTAATTAATCCCTTTCTCAGGCCTGAAAGTCTTATTCTCAATTAGTCCTCTTCTGCATAACTACCTTACCTGCATATGGCACTTGACAGCAAGCACGTTTTTTCTTTTCTACTCTCCCACCTCTATCCCTTCCTGGTTCAGGCCCTCATCACCCCAGGCCTGCGTTCTGTGTCCATTTTTTGCTTCCCTACCTGCTGGTGCAATCCCTGGACTCCTTACACAGCACTTTCACATGTGAATCAGCGAACACTCCGTTGAGCTGTGCATCACTCATTGTGATGTGCAGTGCTCATGCTTCAGAGCATCAATTATGAGCAAGACAAGCCCTTTAACTACAGAGGTGACGGCCATCATCTGACTATACCAACGTGTAGAGAGGGTTGCATTGTAGCATGGGTGCACACCCAAGACCGAGGGTGGAAAACAGCATTCCAGCATAGGTTAATGTAGACGGCATTTGACTAAACTTTTAAGAATGGTTGGAATTAAAAGCAGGAGAGCATTCCAGGCTGAACCAAGAGGTGGGGCCTGAGGGGTCACATGTACAGTGGTTTACTGGGCTCCTGAGCAGAGCAGAGGGATGGAAACTCTGGATGTGCAGGAGGAGCAGTACAAAGTGTTCTCGAAAGGAACATTAGGGCAGGTAAAGAATGACCCTGAGTGCCATCCTCAAGAGTCTCTTATGGATAATCCTTGAAGAGGGGCTGTTGGGCTCCCAGTTGCATTTCCATCTCTCAGTGGAAGACACTGCAGTCTCAACATTTGGACAAGAAGCCCCGCCTAGCAGCTCTTATAGAGGAGGCTGGGAAGCAGACCGGAGGCTGAAAAGCAGTTTGGGGAAAGTGTCCCCAAACCTGGCAGTGCGCCCCTGGGCGAGTCGCCAATTCGCGGGAACCTCCAGGGCCGAGCTGCGGGGAGGATCGCACTGTTTCCATAGTGTGGCCTCACTATAGACAGTCACTGACTTCTACTGGGACGATTTGGGAGGGTGGCCCCCGCGGTCCGTCCACAGCAGAAACCCGTTGGCCGGGAGGCAGCTGCGGGACTCCCGTGCGCGTCCCCGCGGGCGTGCGCGAGCAGCTGGAGGAGCGGACTGGGCACGTGGAACTCCGCCACAGCAGGCTGAGACCGTGCGCAGCGCCCTTTCCTCGGATTGGGCGGAATCATGCCCGGAGAAGGCAGAGACTGGCTAACCCTGGGAAGAGGGCGGAGCCTTGTCAGGGAGGGAGGCGGGACTTGGCTGCCAGTGGTAGCCCTGCCCCCTTGCGGCGTCTCGGGCGCGGGCTGGCAACGGTGAGCAGTCCCGGGAGAGTTTAGGCCTCCTAGTCATCCCAGCAACCGGTGACGCGGCCCTCATGAGGCCCACCACTGGCCAGCCGGGGAAAGCGGGGCCAGAACGTGACTCCCTACCCTGAGGAGCCTCCCAGCTCCCCACTCGGCGGCCGCGCGCTCCGCCAGCCCCTTCCTCCCTTCAACGCCCTAGTCCCGAAGTCCGGGAGGGGGGGGTCAGCGAGCCAGCCGAGTGGGAACTGCGCAGTGTACAAGGAGCCTGTCGGCGACCGGTGAGGGGACTGGGGCTGGGAGGGCAGGGTTGGCACGGGACAGTGATCCCCAGCTACCGCCCGTCTTCTCCCCTCGGCTCCCGGCGACTAGCGTCTGCGGCAGAGGCGAGCGCGGCTCGGCAACGAGTGACGCTGCGGCGGGGCGGGACGAGCGATTGGCCAGTTCCCGCTCGCCGACGCCGGCGGCCTGCTCCTCCCAGGCCTTGCCCTCTGCCTGTCCTCCCCCGTCTTCCCCTGCTGACCTTCGGGGCCGGCGGCCCCACGACGCAGACATCGCCGGGCTAAGACGGACTAAAAGGGTAGTGTCGCCCACCAGGCCCCGTCGGCGTTAATCGTCCCCGACTCCTCGCTAGGTTTTCGATGGGTGGGCGCCGCGGGCGAGGAGCTGGGGTAGGACTGTGGGTAGGAAGTTTCGCCCTTGGAGAATCTGCCTAACGACTGGTGATGAAAGGTGACTGAGGCGCCCGGATTGGCTGCCTTGCGACTTACTCAGGTGTGGCCTTCCTCTTCCGGTGGATACTTGCGCGCCCTTTCCCGGTCAGGGATAGGTAACAAGCCTTAAGCTAAGTGACCCGGCTCCCTGATTTCCTCTGAAAGCTCCCGGGGTGTGTCGTGGGGCTACAGTACAGAATGCCCACACTGTTCTAACCATGTGAAGCAGGGTTCTTTGGGGGTCAGGGAAGGACTTACAAAACTTGCAGAACGTTCAGAATCCTTGAAGTAGAGCAAGGAGGCAGCCCCCGTGCTCGGGATCCTCTTCAGAGGAGCTGTCCTGAAGAGGGTAAGACCTAAAAACGCAGCCACCACAGTTCTCAGACTTACACATATCTCAACCGTCTTTTCATATGAAATGTTGTGATCGCTTCCTTTACTGAGTTCTCCCAGACAGGAGTGTCTGACACCTGTCGTCCCCTGTCCAAGGTTACACAGCTAATAATGAAAGAAGCAGAATTTGGACACTTGCCTACGCATGTTACGGTTCCATTTCAGTAAACCAAAGCAGAGCATTTGCAGCATATGCGGTAGATAGGGCTATGGAGGATAAGCTGACTGGTGAGAGGCCTCCTCCTCCAGTACCCTGCCATTGGGAAGAACTGTATTCCAGATGAACACATCATGTTTAAAAAGCACTGGATGCCCAACTTCTTGCTAGGCCCAGGTAAGTTGCAAAACACCATGTATCATCCCTTCCCACATCCCGGTTCTGAGATGCTCTGTCCCCCTTTGGGTTGCAGTTTGCCCATGTGTCAGAGGAAGTAAAGAATAGACTATCCTATTACGTGTGTTCTCTCCCTGCCAAGATCCCAATCTTCTCCACGGTTTCCAGTTCACAGGAAAATCTGTGTGAAGGCAAAACGTCCAAAACAGCGTACTTGGATCATGATCAGACTTGGGCACTTGGGATGGAAAGCAGCTGTCATTCCTATTTCTAGCAGTTCCTTAAACATGCCAGACTGGATCTGAAGCTGAAATGGGGAACTTCTTTTGAAGTACTGGACCTTGTTTCTGTTAGGTCAGGAGTGGCTATTTTGGTTCTCTAGATTCCACACTCCATCCTTACTTAGAAAAGGGGCTGAAACCTTCCTGGAAGGGATGGGACTACTATTCCCTGTTACTTTCACTGATTACTCAGAATAAAGCCAAGTAAGGGGATGGGGCTGTGGGGTGTGAAGGTGCTCAGCAGAGCTTCTCTTAGGAGGGGTTATTGGAGCAGAGCCCTGAATAAAGAGGCAAAGGGACTTTACAGCTGGAACTATAAATGGGAAGGCCCCAAAGTAGGCAATTAATTTAAATAATACATTTCATTTAGCCCAATATATCCAAAATATTATTTCAATATATAGTCAACATTAAACATTGAGATATTTTGCATTCTTTTTTTCATACTAAATCTTTGAAATTAGGAGTGTATTTGACCCTTACAGCCTATCTCAATTTGGACCAGCCAGTCACATTTCCGGCGCTCAGTCCCATATGGCTCATGGCTACTATAGTGCACAGCACATCTGGGGACAGCCCTCAGCCCCACTCCTGCACCAGCTTTACCCGGCTGTGGCTTCAAGATGGAGGAATTGCAAGATGATCACTTGTCTCTTCATCCTGCCCCAGAAGTCTTGACCTGGCAGAACAGATAGCCAGGAAAGAAAATCTTTGTACTAACTGAAGGACACAACTCAGAAGAAAAAGAACTAAGCTGCTCTCGTAGTAGATTGTTAGTTAATGTACTAAATGCTGGTTAATTACCACACTCTTGATCTGTAATATGTTAGATATGGTTAGATGGGGAATGAAATACCTGCAATATCTATTAAGAAACAGAAATAAAGTGATACATGAAACTCCGTTTATTTTTAATCAATTGTGAATGTTAATTTTTTTGTTAGCTTATCTTACTTAGTACCTGTTTTCAGTTACATATATAATACTTGTATATATTTGTACTCATAACTATTTAATATAAATGCTTGATAAGTACTAAAATATTTTAAGTATTAAACGATTAGGACTTTTCACCAACTCACATGTTATTACCTCCTTCCCTCTTTCTAAGCCCTCCTGTACTTATTTTTTTTTCCTCCTGTACTTACTTTTTTACTTAAAATGAATTTGGTAGTATAACAACTTATAAAACTCTCAGTCAGAAAAAAAAAAGAAATTCTCAATTGGGAAACTGGTTAGGATAGTCTAGAAATCTTTTTTTTTTTTTTTTTGTACAATAATAATATTTTTTTTCTTTCAGATTTCCTCCCAAGCATAGACCCCTTTGCTTCCAGGGCAAACTCCAGCATGGGGTGAGGTACAGAAGAAAGACTTCAGGGGTGTACTCTGGCACTCAGTTACCAAACCTGCCCCCTAGATCAGGGTCTGTCTCACCACATCTATAATGGGGGAAAATTTTATCTTTGTTTATATGCCATTTATGTATGCATGTTTGTGTTTGTGCATTCATCTTACCTTCCCTGGGCCTGTGCCCTGGGAGGCAGAGGGTGGGTTCCCAGAAACTTGGCCTGAGAGGTGCCATGGTCCCTGGTGTCCCTCAAGTGAGGTGGAACCCTCACCAGCATAGTGCATTGCTCTCTTTGGCATTTGGATCAAACACTGAGTCCTGAGGGAAAGTTTTATTCACATGAGGGCAAACATTCTTTTGAACTGACAACCCAGAATAGACAGGCCAAGTATCTGGGCTGAAAGTTCCCTCTGGAAGAACTGAGACATTCTCTTTGAAGACTGCTTTCAGGTCTGCAGAGGGGCTCCTGTCCCTGCTTTCAGCTTTTGCTTAAACTCATTCTCTGTGAATAAGATGTCTGGGATTTAAAATACCACGGGCCAAAAAAAAAAAAAAAAAAAAAAGAGGAAAGAGAGAGAGTGTGTGGGAAAGGAGTGTGATAGATGAAATGGAATAGCAAAATGTAGATAGATATATGCTAAAGGTGAGGGATTCATAATATTATTCTTCAGTTTTTTATATTTGAAAATGTCCATTTAAACAATACTCTCCTCCAAAAAGTACTCCTCTCTTCTTTCTTTCCCTGCCTCTGTCCCCTTTGCTCATTGTAAATTCATGTTGTCCCTCTTACTTCATCCCTGCAGGGTACAGAACATTCTGCTCCAAAGGCATGAGAAGAGAACATCATATATTGGCCACTCCTGCCCAATGTGGAGGGGAGCAGAAACTCCAGAGCCCATCCCTGAAGGTTTGTGGCTTTCAAGGCTTTTTGTCGGTGGATCCCATTTTGGGGGGTATTTTAACCTGAGCTCTGGGTATTTATGATGTTTCCATCTGCCAATAAGAAAATGACTGCTGATCATTTTGTTTGCTTCCTTTCCCTGACCTATTGACTGACACAGCCTATAACTCATAGCAACTATACCTAATCTCCACTGAATTTAGCTGGGACCAATCCATGAGCCTTGAGGAGAGTAGTCAGTGATGAGGCCCACAGGAGGTTCTGTACAGAAAGGCTGATCCTGCTCCCAGACAGCCACCTGGACCAACTTGTCAAAAGGACTCAGGGATAACATTTGAGATAAAAAGGATAACAGATCAGATCCCATCCTCATAAAGGGGTTTCTCTGCTACTCTGGGTTCTCAGATCCCTGGAGCTAGGGCAATGAGAAAGGTTTGCAGAATGTTTACAAACAACTTGGATGACCTGAGAATTAGGAAGGAATGCGTCTTCCTTCTCCACAGTTTTCCTGAAAATGTGAAAAGCACTTCTAGGGTAATGCCATTAACTTTCAGTATTATTCTTTTTGGATTATTCATGTTCCTTTTTGGCCTTTTCCTGGATCCTGAGTTGCTTTATCAAGACTAGGCCAGGGAACTTTGAGGCCGTGTACTGGTGTGGAGTGATTATCAGCTACTGTCCAAAGCCAAGGCAATACTTTGCCATTTCTTGGATAACCATCCCTTGCCCAGGCCCAGCCCTTTCTGAGATTTTTGCCCAAACTGCTGCTTTTCTACAGGTTTATGCTTCATCTCATTGCCCTCCTTGTCCTTCCATCCCAGATTTGGCTGGGTTCACATTGGTGACTTTAGAAATCAGGGTCTCAGAGGAAGGTGTTGATGTAGTTGAGGCCCAGGGGCCCTCTCATTGCCTGTCCCTCCTTGGTGTTTTCTAGTGCATGTCTAGGCCAAGACCTCTGATCTAAGAACAGAAAACAGGCTGCTGCATACTCCTCATTCCCTGCCAAGCAGAGTTTTGGAAGCAAACTCCCTCTCTGAATCCCTCCTGCCCTTCCTGATGGCATGAGGACCACCCCCCAATACTTCTAGGAGTCCTATGGCTTTGCCTCCTCTTGGAGAGTGGAATCCAGGAGATGACCTAGCTGAGGAAGTTACAAGAAATAGGGGCCCTGTGCTTGCCTCTCTATTCCCCCAAGGTGTAGCTGTTGCAGCTGTTACTGTGGCTTACAGTGACTCTCTCCCTATAGGGTGAAGGGTGAACCTGGCTGCAGTCCACCCTAGAAAAAGCTGCAGAGCCTGCCCACAAAAGAAGGAAGCTGACATCTGCAGGCCAGTTTTCCAGGCCTCCCCTTCTTCCCTCTGCTACTTCCTTTGTAGGCCTTCAGGAAACTGAAAATAACACGCAGTTTGAGGCGGTGGACCCCGGCGTGGGAGTGGCACGCATCCCTGCCAGCCTGGCCCCCAGCCTGCGTCCCGAGGGCACCCCAGCCTAGCCCTCACCATGTTCGCTGCATCAGAGGCGGCGGTGGTGGCCGCGGCGGTAGCAGGAAGGCCTTACGTGTGCGGCGAGTGTGGCAAGAGCTTCAGCTACAGTTCAGTGCTGATGCGCCACGAGCGTGCCCATGGCGGCGATAGCCGCTACCGCTGCCTCGACTGCGGGGAGCGCTATGCACTGGCCGCTGACCTCCGTGCACACCGACGCGCGCATGCTGGCCAGACGCTCTACATCTGCAATGAGTGCGGCCAGAGCTTCCGTCATAATGGCCGCCTGGACCTGCACCAGAGCACACACAGACAGCGCGGCCGCTCCTGCCCGTGCCGCGCGTGCGGCCGCAGCTTTCCACACCTCTCAGCTCTGCTGCTGCACCGGCGCCGCCGGCACCCCCCCGAGCGGCCCTGCCGCTGCCCCCTGTGCGCGCGCGCCTTCCGTCAGAGTGCGCTCCGCTTCCACCAGGCGCGGGCACACCCGTGGGGTACACCCATCGCGCCTCTCGACCCCCTCCACCGCTGCACACAGTGCCCACGGGCCTTCCGCAGCTCTGCAGGGCTGCGGAGCCACGCTCGCGTCCACGCGAGCCAGCGTCCGGCTCCTGAGCCGCACGCGCCGGGTGCGCACCAGTGCAGCGTGTGCGGGAAGAGCTTCGGCAAGAGCTCCACGCTAACACGACACCTGCAGATGCACTCGGGTGAGAAGCCCTTCAAGTGCCCGGAGTGTGGGAAGGGATTCGTGGAGAGCGCCACGCTGGTGCGCCACCAGCGAACGCACACGGGGGAGAAGCCATACGCGTGCGGGGACTGCGGGCGCCGCTTCAGCGAAAGTTCCACCCTGTTGCGCCACAGGCGCAGCCATCAGGGGGAGCGGCCGCACGCATGCGCCACGTGCGGCAAGGGCTTTGGGCAGCGCTCAGACCTGGTGGTGCACCAGCGCATCCACACTGGTGAGAGGCCCTTCCCGTGCACCGAGTGCGGCCGCCGCTTCAGTGACCGCTCTGACCTCACCAAGCACCGGCGCACGCACACCGGCGAGAAGCCCTACCGCTGTGAGCTGTGCGGCAAACGCTTCACATGCGTCTCCAACCTCAACGTGCACCGGCGCAACCACGCCGGCCATAAGCCCCACAAGTGCCCCGAGTGCGGCAAGGCCTTCAGCGTGGCCTCCAAGCTGGCGCTGCACCGCAAGACTCACCTGGGCGAGCGGCCGGCACAGTGCGCCGAGTGCGGCAAGTGTTTCAGCCACAGCCGCTCGCTCTCCCAGCACCAGCGGGCGCACACGCGCGCTCGAGCTGCCGCCGCTGCCGCCCAAGCCACCGCAGGAGCTGCACTCATCCTTGCTGGGCGAGCAGAACAGGAAAAGCCGGACTTCTTGTGTCCCAGCTGAGGGACACTTGCTGAGAAGCTTTGCTATAGTAGACTGGGCACATACGGATGCACTGCCACAGGGAGGTCTGTGTAAAGACAGCACGGCCGGCTGTCGCCTTTCCCCATCTTCCATGGTAGCCCTTCACCTAGACTGTGACCGGGCCCCTACATCTACTTCCCTGGTCAGCTCTTCCTGTTCTCCATCCTTCCTGTCCTCCCCCTGGGGTGTAGGGAAGCAGGAAAACCTCCTAGACAGGAAAGAGAGCCCAGGTATGGGTATATTCCCACTGCTGCTGTTGTGTCCCCCAAGGTTTTTCTGCTTTCCCACCTGGGTTCGAACTTATCTTGTCCCATCCCCTTTTCCAGCCCGAGTCTCCTCTAGCTCTCCTTCCCGTGTTCGTTTGTTGTCCTGCCTCTTCAGATAATGATCACAGATGTGGCCACAGGGACAACCCACCCACCTTGTGGTCTTCTTGACTCTTGGTTCTACTTGAGCCTCTGCTGCTTTCTCCCTAGGCTCAGAGATGGGAAATTTGTAGGCAGAGAGATGATGGGACAGCACATTTCAGTGAAAGACATCATGCCAGAAGCCACCAGCCTGCTTCCTGGCAGAGAAGGCCCACCACAGTGAAGCTGGGTGGGAGCCCTCAGCAAAGCAGCCACCAGTCCCAGGGAGCACACCTGATGGTATCCATATCAAAGTGCCTCTCAGGGCAATATTCTCCAGCTAGGTGGGGGGACATTAACTTTCAGACCTAGACGGAGACCCTGTGGGGTCTATAAAGCAGAGTACTGCCAAGGGGAGCATCAGAATACTATTTCCAAATCAAGCCTGGAGCCATGGGCAAATGGAGCTCCACAGAGTCAATAATGCAGGGCAGAAAATCTGGAATTGGCCGGTGGTTGTTTTGCTTACGACTGGTGAAATAAAGCTTGGTGTTTTGGGAGGGTTCCAGAAGCCAAAAGCCTCCTTTGTCATACCAGAGGCTACCATCTTTGCAGAATTCAGGAGTGATCCAAGAGCCAAGCCGTTTTGAAGTTCTAAGATGTCCCCTCCCAAGGTAGCTCAGTGATCTTGCATGCACAGCCCGCTTGATTTTGCACTGGAAGGCAAGACTCTTTAAGCATGTACGTTTGGTTCTCTTGATCAATGCAGAGTACGAATGTGGCTCAGGCTCACATGCTCCATTCTTGTTCCAGCTAATCCACTGGATTGACCCAGTGCTCTGGGTCGCTGGAATGACCCAGTGCTCTCCATATGTCACAGCCTGTCCTTCTTGAGTGCAAGAACAGGTATGACACTCCACAGAAAAGGACTGCAAAGTGCCAAAGCAAACTGAGAAAGAAAGCTGGGTCCTTGAGGTAGGGGCCTGCAGAGAGAGCAATACAGCCCACACCCATGGTAAACTCAGGCATATTCTAGCAGCGCCTGCTTCTAGAGAAATCAGGATTCCTACACTTCAGGTGCCAAAATACTCACTCTGCCCATGTACGTCCATGTGAAATACTGGGTTTATTCTGTCCTTTAGGAAGACTAAAGTAGCCTGGCTTTTCTGCCCCCACCCTAAACTCCCTGACACCCTGGTTTCTGGGAACCAGGCACCTGGCACTTCTCTTCCTTGCTCCTCTTCAGTCTCCAGGGTCTGGTTCCTCAGAGCTCAGGAATGCTCACTCCTGAGGAAGCACGGTCAGAGCCTGAGGAACCACAGAGGGCCTGGACTCATCACCAGACCCCAGGGTCGCAGAGGCAGAGATGCTGGGACAGGGCTCCAACGGGCCGGGTGACTCTTGTGGGACTGGGAGCAGGGCTGGATGGCTTTTGCTGCAGTGAGCTGCAACGCTGTCTGGCTTCTCGAAACGCTTGCCGCAAAACTCACAGGGGAAGAGCAGAGTAGCGGCTGTCTCCGCATGCTTGCGCCGGTGCCAGTTCAGGGAAGCCTTCTGGCGGCAGGTGAACCCACAGATCTCACACCTGAGCCAGGGACAGCGGAGGGAAGGACAGGGCTTCAGCCCATCATGACTTCCCCAGGGGCTCCCCCTCCTTCAGCTCTGTCTTGCTGGCCCACCCGCAGTCCAACCTTCCCACCCTCCTCCCCCCACACTCACTGCAGGGGTTTCTCTCCAGTGTGGATGCGCCGGTGGATGACGAGGTTGCTGCTGGTGCGGAAAGACCGGGCGCAGAACTCACAGATGTAGTCCCGGGTGTCTGCGGGTTCACAGGGGTCACCCCAGCATCCATCCCCAGGCCGCGGCCCCTCCTCAGCCCAACCCACCTGCCAACCCTCACAGGAGTACTGGCCCCAATCAACCAGCTTATGCATGCCCCCCAGGCCCCCAATAGTGCCCCTTGGCTGTCAGCTGCCAATCTGTTCCATTTTCCCTGAACCTTCCTCCCTATCAGCACTGACCACCTGCCCTCTGTGCTTCTCTGGCAGCTCTCACAGTCCTGCTGTGGTTTTTCTCCTATACCTCCCAACTCTCTGGGCAGGCTCTACAGGAGGTATCCCTGCTTCTTGGGGCATTCTTTAGACATCTGTCTCACCACCACGTGTATAACCCCACACGTACCCCTGCAGCCTTCTTCCCCATTACTCCATCACATTCCCCAAACCTCTGGCCCTAGGCCCTCTCCTCAGCCATTACTCATGCTATTGCTTTGCCTTCTACACGTCCAGTACTCCACATTTCTGTTCCCCGACCTGCACTGACCTGGTCTCCCACCACTCTCAGCCACCACTCCCAGGGCACGCCCCATCACTGCACCTCCTTGAAATCACCATTTCAAGCATCCCAGTTCCAGCAAGGGCCTTCTACTTTGTCCCGCTACAATAAGCCTGTGACTGCAGGCTGCCAGTTCAGCAGCCTGTTGCCTTCCCACTGTCCCCCTCCATACTCCTTACCCAGATCCCTTTCTGGGGTGTCTTTGTAGCCTCCTTCGCTCACACTATGAATTCACTGGCCGCTCTCTCCCTGAGTTGTACCAAGGTAAACACAACCCTTGGCCTGTTCCAGGAATACACAGGTGTGGTATGGGGAGCAGAAACACAACCCACAATCCATTCACCTACCCCTCAGCCTTTCCTTTTCATTCACAACCACAAGTCCCAAGGGCCCACCATATGCCTCTGCATTTCGTGGCCAGTTCACTCTGCCGCTCTCAAGAGTCCAGAAGGCCATTTTTCATACCACCTCCTCTCTCTGCTAGCTCATTCAGCAGTGGTCTCATTCTTCAAGTCACCAGGAAGAGAGAACCCAGAGAGATTAAGCACATAGTCCCCTGACCTCATCCATCCGCCAGCTCACCTCTGCCCATATACGTGACTCTTCCTTTCTCCGTCCACTGCAGTCGCCTTCCAGCTGTGCAGAGACCCACTGCTTCTCCCTGACCAGAGGTTCCCTCCTTCCCCCCCAAACCCAGACATCAGTAAGCCTTTTCTCTCAGTGGGATCATTTCCATCTCTGTACTCCCAAACTCACAGCCTCCAGCTAAGACCCCATTTCTCTACCTGTCTTCACAGCAACACTCCAGAGTGGCCCATACTTGCTACCTCTACTTCCCCAGCTGCTCCCTGCCTTGAACTCACTTCATTCTGGCTGTCCTCCCTTGTCACACACCACCTTGTCATCTAGTCAAAGGCAGCTTCCCACCACCACATCCAGTGGCCTGTCCTCATCTTACTCAGTCTCGTAGCACTGGCACAACCCACCCCCCACCCCCATAGAACAGTCTCTCCACTTGAGTCCTCAAATACTGATCTTTTCATCTGCTTCACCAGGTGCTTGGGAGCTGCCCTTCCCACCTGCACCACTTAGAACTCTCTTCTACCTAAGCTCACTCCATGTAGGTACCCTCTACCCTCAACCCCAAACACCACCCACCTGCTTGTGATGAACACATTTTTCCCCCCATCATCTCTGAACTCCAGATTCACATCTTCTGGGATGTCTAAATTAGCACGTCCCAAATAAAATGTCCCTTTCCTAAAGCCTGCCTCTCCCTTATTTCCAGGAAATTTCATCACCTCTGCCCAGTTGCTCAGGCTGGAATCCTTCAAGTCAGCCTTGATGCCCTCCTGCCAATCCACCTGTGGCCAGTCTGTCCTTCTCACAGTGGCCGTTGGGCTCTACCTTCACACTCCCATCAGCCTCCAGCCACGTCCCCCCACCAACCCAACTGGACCTGCTGTCACTGTGTGCTGCGTGTTCCTACAGTCCCATTTCTCCACATGGCAGTGGAGTTGCTCCTCTTAAAGTCAGTTGTGTCCTTCTGCCATACACGACTTTATCTCGTTTGGCCAGAGGCCAAGCCATGCTGATGGTAGCCTTGGAGACCCCCAACCACCTGTCTGATCTCTTTTCCTTCCTTTCTAATTTCCTGGCCTCCGCTCCCTTCCTGGAACACACCACACAGAAGCCAGGTCAGGGCCTTCCCAGTGCTGCCCATAGACATGGACAAGCCTCAATTTCTCCTTTCACTTAGGTTTTTGTTCAAAGCATCTTCCCTTTCTACCAGAGCGACTCCTCCCTTGTGCTCTCCCTCCCCTTCCAGACTTTTACATCTCTTTGTACCCCTCTTATCACTAGAGTGGACGTCTTATGAAGTAAGGATTTCCTTCTTTGTTCATTTTTTTTTTTTAATGAGTGAGAGAGAGCATGAGAGAGGAGAAGGTCAGAGGGAGAAGCAGACTCCCCAAGGAGCTGGGAGCCCAATGCGGGGCTCGATCCCAGGACCCTGAGATCATGACCTGAGCCGAAGGCAGAGGCTTTAAACCACTGAGCCACCCAGGCGCCCCCCCTTCTTTGTTCACTTTTGTATCTTAGCACCTAGAACAATCTCAGGCAGGCGGGTGCTCACCATACAGAGAACTTGAATATGAGAGTCATCCCATGGAGGGGTGATGGGACATGCAGATAGGAGGTGATGGGCCCCACAGGGAAGTGAAGGGACCCATAAGGGCAGGGGATAGCACCCACAGGAAGAAAATGAGGACGCATTTCTACCACTCACCACTGTGCAGTTTAACATGCTCCTTCAAGTGTTTCTTAAAGTTGAAGGACTTCCCACAGGCTGGCTCTGGGCAGGAAAAGGACTTTTGGTGGATATGCTGGTACTTCTTGTGGTGCTAGGAAAGGAAACAGGTAATGTCAGGGAGGCCACCAGAGCTGGCCCAGCAGGCAAGGCTCCTCTGCCCGCCCCCTTTCCCCATTAGTTCTGTCACCACCAGCTCCCATCATCCTGGCCAGTCCTCATCTGACTGCAAGCACCCCATCCCATCCTGACACCAAACTCTGCCCTCATCCTATCCTGTCCTTGACTTGCATTATCTCACATTTCTGCCACAACCTTCCTTACAAAGCCCAGTTCTCTGAACAAAAGGCCATTCTGGTGACGCTCTTGTTTCCCTAATCATGAAGTTGCTGTCTGCTGGGAATGAGAACACAATCTAGGCAGGTATGACTACCTTCAATATCAGTGTACAAAAATATTGCCCAGACTGCCTACTTTATTAATAGCTCATCACGGGTATATATTATATGACGTTTTCCTAAATCTGCTTTGGAAACACACATACACACACACACACACATGCATGCTCTCAACCTGGAACACTTTAAGGGTAGTGTGTTCTTTAACTCCCTGAGTATGTCTGGGAAATTGTTCTCCTGTCTGACCGAATTTTACATCCTGGCTCCGTAAAATGCATGGGCTGTCCCCTTTTCTATAATCCCACTTTCCCGTAGTTAAACTGCTGCTTGAGGCTGCTTCAGTCTTCTTCATTAACAGCCTCCTGTTTGACTAGCCCCACTAAAATCCTTATCCCAGAGCTTTCCTACCACAGGGGGCTGACGTACCCATTTCCTCTCCCAAATCCCATCCACCACCGCTTCGCCATCCCTCTGATCTGGGCTCTCCCTCAGCTTCAGGACATCATCTGGGAGGACTCTGGGTTAGGTGTG